TGGAAGTGGGGAGGAGCATGCATGAAGAAAGGGGAGGTAGGGTGGGGTCGGGATGGGACGAGGGAGGGGCTTATGGGGGGATACAAAATGAATAAAGTGTAATTAATAATAATTAAAAAAGAAAAAAGAATATAGTGAACCATTTATTATTTTTAATTAATTAATTAATTGCAATATATTCATTTTTTATGTCCATCCTAGCCCCTTCCCTCATCTTCTCTTAGTTACACCTGCCTACCATTTTCTCCCCGATGTCCTTTCCCTAGTCACCTGATAGGGGAGAACCTCCTCCCCTTTTATCTGACCCTAGCCTATCAGTCTCATCAGTGCTGCCTGCATCATATTCCTCCTGGGCCTGGCAAGGCTGCACCCCCCCTCCCCAGGTGGAGGTGTTCAAACAGCCTGTCACTGTGTTTATGTCAGAGACGGCCCCTGATCCCCTTACTAGCTTACTAGTGAACAACACTTGAAAACTGAGCAGCTTATGGGATTCCTCTAAGAAGAGGGACTAGGTCCTCTCCAGGCATGGTCCTTGGTTGGAGTATTGGTCTCTGCAGGCCCCTGTGGGTCCAGGTTTTTAGGCTCTTTTATTCTCCTTGGGGAGTTCCTGTCCCCTCCAGGTCTTTCTATCTCCCCTGTCAGATATAGGATTGGTGAAGATCCTTTCCCAGTCTTTACCTGTCGTTTTGCTCTTATAACAGTGTCCTTTGCTTTACAGAGGCTTTTCAGTTTCATGAGGTCCCATTATTGATTGCTGATCTTAGAGCTTGTGCTGTTGGTGTTCTGTTCAGGAAGTTGTTTCCTGTGCCAATGAGTTCCCTGCTTTTTCTTCTGATTTAATGTGTCTGGCTTTCTGTTGAGGTCTTTGATCCACTTGGACTTTAGTTTTGTGCAGGGTGGTAAGTATGGATCTATTTTCATTTTTCTACATGTAGACATCCAGTTAGACCAGCCCCATTTGTTGAAGATGCTGTCTTTTATCCATTGTATGGTTTTGGCATCTTTGTCAAAAATCAATCAGGTGTCCATAAGTGTGTGGGTTTATTTCTGGGTCTTCTATTCGGTTCCTTTGATCTACCATTCTGTTTCTATGCCAGTACCATGCAGTTTTTTATTACTGTTGCTCTATAGTATAGCTTGAGATCTGGGCTGGAGATCCCTCCAGAAGATCTTTTATTGTACAGGATTGTTTTAGCTATTCTGTTTTTTTTTTTTTGTTTGTTTGTTTTTTTTTTTTTTTGCTTTTCCACATGAAATTGAGAATTGTTCTCTCAAAGTCTGTAAAAAAACTGTTTTGGTATTTTGATTGGAGTTACATTGAATCTATAGACTGCTTTTGGCAATCCTTCCAATCATTGGCATGGGAGATCTTTCCATTTTATGATATCTTCTTCATTTTCTTTCTTCAGAGATTTGAAGATTTTTTTTTCATAAAGGTTTTCCACTTGCTTGGTTAGAATCACACCAAGTTATTTATGGTATTTCTGGCTACTGTGAAGGGTGTTGTTTCCCTAATTTCTTTCTCAGCCTGTTTGTATTTTATATGCAGGAGTGCTTCAGATTTTTTTTTTTTTACTTAATTTTGTATTCAGCCACATTTTTGAAGGTGTTTATCAGCTGAAGGAGTTCTCTGGCAGAATTTTTGCAGTCACTCATGTATACTGTCTTATCATCTGCAAATAGCAATACTTTGACTTCTTTATTTCAGAGTTGTATCCCCTTGATCTCTTTTAGGTTTCTTATTGCTTTAGCTATGACTTCAAGAGCTATGTTGAAGAGATAAAGAAAGAAAGAATGGGCTGCCTTGCCTTGTCCCTGATTTAAGTGGGATTGATATAAGTCTCTCTCCATTTAGTTTGATGTTGGTTATAGGCCTGCTCTATATTGCTTTTATTATGTTTAGGTATGTGCCTTGTATCCCTGATCTCTCCAAAACTTTAAACATGAATGGGTGTTAATTTTGCCAAATGCTTTTTTGGCATCTAAAGAAATTATTATATTTTTTCTTTCAGTTTGTTTATATGGTGGATTACATTGATGGATTTTCATATATTGAACCACCCCTACATGCCTGTGATGAAGCCTAATTGGTCATAGTGGATGACATCTTTATTGTGTTCTTGGATTCCCTTTGTGAGTATTTTATCGAGTATTTTTGCATCAATGTTCATAAGTGATATTGTTCTGAAGTTCCTTTTTTTTTGGGAGGGGGTCTTTGTCTGGTTTAGGTATCAAGGTGAGTGTCGCCAAATAGAATGAGGTTGGTATTGTTCCTTCTGTTCCTCTTCGGTGCAATAGTTTGAAGAGAATTGGAGTTCACTCTCCTCTGAAGGTCTGGTAGAATTCTGCACTGAAACCATCTGGCCCTGGCCTTTTTTTGGATGGGAGACTTTTGATGACAGCTTCTATTTTCTTAGAGGCTATAGGACTATTTAATTTATTTTCCTGATCTAGATTCAACCTTAGTAAATGGACTCTATCAAGAAAATTGTGCATTTCATTTACATTTTCAAATTTTATTTCATATAGGCTTTTGACGTAGAACCTAATGAATCTTTGGATTTTCTCAGTGTCTGTTGTTATGTCCCCCTTTTCATTTCTGATTTTGTTGAATTGGACAGTATACCTCTGCCTTTCATTTAGCTTAGCTAAGAGTTTGTCTATCTTGTTGATTTTCTCAAAGAACCAGTTCTTGGTTTCATTGATTGTTTGAACTGTTGTCTTTGTTTCTAATGTATTGATTTCAGCCATGAGTTATTATTTCCTGCTGTTTACTCCTCTTGGGTGTGTCTCCTCTTTTTTTTTTCTTCAGAAAAGGGTAGGCTTCTATGAGATATTAACCAAACTGGTGTATTAATTTTCAATAAGACTGGGTACCTTCTCTCATATTAAGGCTGGATGAGGCAACCCAGTAGAAAGACAAGAGTCCCAAAATCAAGCAAAAGGACCAGAAATAGCTCCTGCTTCCTCTGTTAGGAGTCCCGCAAAACCAACAAACTAGACAACTATAACTTACATGCAAAGGGCCTAGGTTAGATACCTGCAAATTCTATTTGAGATGGAAGTCTTAAATTCAGGAAGGACACTGGAAGTAGAGAATCTCCATCTCAGTTGGGGGCTTGAGTATTGTGACTATGAAGGCAGGGGCATTGGCATAGGGTGAGTAAAATCCAAAACAGTGGGGAGTTTGGTGGGATGGCAGTCTACCTCTACTTCTCACAACCAAAAATATAAGAGTCCTTTATTATTTAGTATGTTTACCAAGAGAAGACTAGACCTTCAGAGAAAATCTCTCGGAAGTGAATGAAAGCAGAGTATAGTTTTAAGTTAAGAGTTTGTAATCATCTCACATAAGTTACTGGTTGAGGAGGCTTTATATGACAAACTTTCCTAGAAAGTAAAGACATGCCCTTTAGTTTGTAAATCATCATAGAAGCCTCATGTCTTCATAGGAAACTTTTTTAATATTATATAAATGCAAGTTTATTGAGAGCAGTGCAGGAGGGAGAGGGGGAAGGGAGTGTGTACTGGAGAGGAATGAAGGTGGGAGGAAGGAAGAGAGATAGCAATAATGGGGGAAGGGCAAAAGGGAAAATGTGAAGAGGGGTCACATGAAACTTTTTTTGCCTATGATGCTCTTCCAGAAGAAGAAACCATTTGAAAAGTAAAACTCCATGTAAGTATCTTTTATAAGAAAAAGGGAGAGACTTTAATAATGAAGCTCCATAGGAGGGGAGATATGGGACCAAGGTAACCTGGCATTTCCTAAGTCATTTCACTGTGAGGGAGGAGTACCAAACATAGAAGAGGCACAAAATTATGGTATAGACATTAATGAAGTATGATGATAATGTTCTCATTCTGCCAGCATACAACTTCTGTATTAGCATTCAATATCAAACAAACAAACAAATGAACAAACAAACAAAAAGACCATCGAAGGTAAATGAGTACTGAATTATAATTACAATAAATACTCACTGAAATAGTGTGTTACTGGATTACATTGTACTGTGTTATAGAATCATAATGCTTCAAAATAAGAAGCATAAAGGATAAGGTAGACTCAGAGAGAACAGGCAACACAGTCTGTGTCATAAAATAAGCTAGTAAGTGGAAAAACTGTGAGGTAGTTCATACCAAATATCCTTGTGTCACTTTGTAAAACATATATTACTACAAGGGAACTATTTATCTCCTCTCTGATGAACTCTAATTTGATCTTGAGGTTTACTTTGACTAATCCACAGAGTGTAGGGATTATGACATCCATAATTACTATGTGTAAGCTTTAAGATCTAAGATGTGATTAATATGTACTCCTCACTCAATGGCGGCTCTTTGACCTCCCCACCCCTCAAGGGAAGAGCAGTCCTGCTAGGCCACAGAGAAGGACTTTGTAGCTAGTTCTGAAGATACCTGATAAAACAGGATCAGATGAAAGGGGAGGAGGCCCTCCCCAATCTTGGAAAGGGGCAGGGAGGAGATGAGGGAGGGAGGGTTTGGCAGGGAATAAGGGAGCAGATACAGCTGGGATACAGAGTTAATAAAATGTAACTAATAATAAAATAAATAAATAAATAAATAAATGTACTCCTCTTCCCATTTGATACCAGACAATATCTCACAGTGTATTCATAGTGCCAGCCTAAATCACTGTCAAGTGAAGATATTCTCATTTCATAAAGACTAAATCAATCAAGTAAAAATAATGTAACATGAAAAAGATAGATATCTTAAATTTTTAAACCACCATGGTTGGAAAATTGGTAATAAATGACCATTTGTTAATTCCACACAATCTACCTCATCTTGACATGCCCTTAACAGGTATGCTTAGATGACTAGATATGAAACATGTTGTGTGATTTATCTAGGAAAAACTGAAACTATATGAAATAAATGAAAAATTCCAAATTGAAATGTGAAACTACAAGAATGTGGGCATACGGTCCAAGAGAGTTTTGGAGCTGAGTTGGTGAGAAATCAAACATCCTTACCTGGCGATTAAGCAGACAGTGTACCACAAATATCAAAACCCCCTGCAGGACATTAATGATGGTGAACAGATAGGCAATGATCAATCTCAATGTCTTCCCAACTTCAATGGACATAAATAAGCCAATGCCCCAAGAACATCCCAATACAAATAGTTGAGCAATGGCTTTAAATGTCATAATCCTGGAAAAAAATGACAACAGAGTTAACTACTGATCATCAGGCCTTCACTACATGTTAAGTTAGCTTAGAGGAAATCATATGCTTTTCATGTATTAGGTTATTATATTTTGGAAATATTTTGCTTATGAAAAAGGTATCTGTCCTGCCTGCAAGACATGCTGGGGTAATAGTAGTACAAAACCTATGGGATTAACCAACCAACCAATGACTGGTCTATCTGAGGCCCACACCACAAAAAGGAGCCCATGCCTGACACTGCTTGGATATCAAAGAGCCAGAGGCAGGGCAGCCCAGAGAACTAGGATAGAACCAAACATAACTAGAAAAAAAGTCAATGAAATGATTCCTAATAATATTCTGCTATAGTCATAGATCAGCATCTAACCCAATTGTCATTATAAGGACATCATCCAGCAACTGATGGAAACAGATGCAAAAACCCACATCCAAACACTGGGTGAAGCCAAAAGAACCCTGCAGAATAAGGGGAGGAAGCCTTATATGAGCCAAATGGGTAAAGGGCAAGATGAGAATTCAGCCATCTGAATCAACTAAGCAGGGCCCATAGAGGTTCACGAAGACTGAAACAACAAACAAGAATCTTATATGAGCCTGAACTAGTTCCTCCACATATACCTTATAGATGTATAACTTGGTGTTCCTGTTAGACTATGGGCAGTGAGAGTGGGAGGGTTTTCTCTTACTTTTCTGCCTGCTCTTGGGACACTTTTTTCTCCTACGGGGGTTTTGTTCTCCAGACTTGATATGAGGGTTTGCACCTAGGTTATGGTAACTTATTGGACAATGTTCTGTGCTTATTTCTGTGAGACTTGCTCTTTCTTTAAAGAGAAATGGAGAAGAAATGGATCTTAGGGAAAGCAGAAATGTGGGTATGGACTAGGAGGAATAGAACAATGGGAAACTATGGTCACGACATAATGCATGAGAGAATAAAATAAAAAATTATAACAGCTTACACTTTAGGAATTTTGGTATTTTGAAACTATAAACATTTATGGGGACTTTTGATATGGACTGCATGGATTTTCCATTATGAGAGGACTATGAGCCTGTGATAGCAAAGAGTAGAATATAATGGCTTAACAGTGAAATGTGTGAGTATCAAGTAAATAAAGAATGGAGTTGTGATCTATCAATTCTCTTTAGGTCTACTTTGAAAGACCTAGAATCTCCTAAATGGCCTGTTTCTGAGCACACATGTGAGAGAGTATTGATATTAAGGCATTCTGACAATGCCTATAAAAACTGCCTTGATTACATTAGTTGTTGGGGGAGTGCTGCCCAATGTGGGAATCATTTTCCTGAGCTGAGATGGGACACTATATAAAATGGAGAAAAGAATAAGTATACATGCATGCATTCATCACTATATTGTTTCCAGTTGTGGAAGCTCTGACCTTCCTACAATTGTGTATTATACACAGCTCAAGATTAGTGAGATAAAAAAGATCTTTTCTCTCTTAATATGTATTTTTCAGTGTATTTTTGTCACAGAACAAGAAAAGAAATTAAGATAAAACTCTTGGTATGGATTTCACATAAACTATATTATATCAAGAACTAAATTACAGGACATAGCTCCTGCCTCTGAGATCTTCCCACCTGCTCCCCATCTGACCTGGGTCAGAAAGAGCCAGTCCAGCAAAAAGGCAGTGAACCAAGCAAAAGTGAGTTGGGCTTATGACACAAGCACCATTGTCTCTCATCTGGAGAAGGCTTGTGGAGTACCAAAGAAGCTCTTAGGTCAGAGACCTTTCTATGTGCTCCCAATCTGCCTGGCCCACCTGGGTCAGAAACAGTGAGCCTAGCAGACACAATGAACCAAACAGAGGTGAACTGGACTTGCAACCCAAGACCCATTGTCTGTCATTTGAAGGAGGCCCAAGCAGCTCTCTGCTCCAGGGTCTTTCTGCCTGCTCTCCAGCAGTTTGGCCCCACTTGGGACATAGCCACAGAACACAGCAAAGGGAACAACAGGCCAGTGAACACCAGAGTCAACCAGATGGCTAGAGGCCACCGTAAGAACACAAGAAAGAAAACTCATGTCCATATGGAACCACCAGAAACCAGCGATCCTAACACAGCAAGCCCTAGAGTTACTATCACACCTGAAGTGTAAGAAAAAGAATTTAAATCTGAGGTTATGAAAATGATAGAGGAATTAAAGGAAGACAACTAAACTCTCAAATTAGCACAGGAAAATACATTCAAACTGATGAAAGAATTAAGCGAGTCCCTTAAAGAAATTAAAGAAATACAAGAAACTACAATCAAACAGGAGAAGAAAATGAAAAAAAAAAAACTGTTGAAGACCTAATAATGGAGCTAGAAGCAATAAATAAAACACAGTCTAAGACAATCCTGACATTCTATGGACAAGAGCATCACTAACAGAATACAAGAGATGGAAGAGAAAATCTTAGGGGTAGAAGATACCTTTGAAAAAAATTGATGTATCAGTCAAAGAAAATTTTAAATCTCAAAAGATCCTGACACAGAATATCTAAGAAATCTGGGACACTATGAAAAGACCACACCTAAAAATAATAGGAAAAGAAGAATGAGAGGATTCCTAGCTCCCAGGTTAAGAAAATATTTTCAACAAAGTCATAGAAGAAAAATTCCCCAACTTAAAGAAAGAGATGCCTATAAATGTACAAAAAGCTTATAGAAAACCAAATACATTAGACCAGAAAAGAAAATCACCCTGGTCCATAATTATCAAAACATTAAATGTTCAGAACAAAAAGAGATTATTAAAAGCTGCAAAGGAAAAAGGCCATCATGTATAAAGACAAACCTGTCAGAATCATACATGACTTATCATCAGAAACTGTAAAAGCCAGAAGGGCCTGGATGCATATCTTACAGACACTAAGAGACCACAAATGTCAGCCCAGCAAAACTTTTAATCACCATTGAGGGAGAAAACAAGATATTCCATGACAAAAACAAAAGGAAATAGTAACTATCCACAAATCCATCTCTACCGAAGATACTAAAAGGAAAACTACAATCCAAAGAGGCTAACTCCACCTAGGAAAACAAAGGAAATAAATAACCCTAAATCAGCAAAGCCAAAGTTAGGGAATAACACACACACACACACACACACACACACACACACACAATCACCAACAACATCAAAGTAACAGGAAATATCAACAACTGGTCATTAATATCTCTCAACATCAGTGGCATCAAATCCTCAATAAAAAGACAGAAGTTAATGGAATGGATATGAAGATAGTAGCCATCTTTCTGTTGCATTCAAGAAACACACCTCAACAATAAATGCAGATATTATCTCACAGTAAAGGAATGGGGAAAGGTTTGGCTAAGCAAACAGACCCAAAAAGCAAGCTGGAGTAGTTAATCTAGTATCTAATAAAATAGACTTTCAACCCAAATGCAAGGGCAATCTTAATCTAAAAGAAACATTGCTAAAGCTTAAATCACACATCAAACCCCACACATTAATAGTGGCAGACTTCAACACCTCACTCTCTCCAATGGACCATCATCAAGACAGAATCTAAATGGGAAAATAAAGAAACTGAATCAAATGGAACTAACATATCTACAGGACATTTCACACAAACACAAGAGAATATACATTCTTCTCTGCACCTCATGGAACCTTCTCTAAAACTGATCATATATTCGGTCACAAATAAATCCAAGCCTATATAAGAAGATTGAAATAACTTCCTGTATCTTATCAGACCATGGATTAAAGATGGAACTCAAAAATAACAGAAGACCAACAAACTCATAGAAACTGAACATTTCCCTACTCAACTGTGTCAGGGAAGAAATAAAGAAAGAAATTAAAGACTTTCTACAATTCAATGAAAATGAAGGTACAACATACCTAAACTTATTGGACACAATAAAAGCAGTGGTAAAAGGAAATTTCATAGCACCTTCATAAAGAAATTGGAGAGATCCCCTACTAGTAACTTAACAGCACACTTGAAAGCTCTAGAACAAAAGGAAGTAGACAGACCAAAGAGGAGTAGACAGCAGGAAATAATCAACTTAGGGCTGAAAACAATAAATTAGAAACAAAGAGAACAATACAAACAATCAATGAGACTAAGAATTGTTTCTTTGAGAAAATCAATAAGATAGACAAACCCTTAGCAAAACTAACTAAAAGGCAGAGGAAGATTATCTAAATTAACAAAATCAGAAAGGAAAGGGGGTCATAAAAACACTGAGGAAATCCAAAAAATCATTAAGTCTTACTTCAAAAGCTTGTACTCTATAAAATTGGAAAATCTAAAGGAAATAAATGATTTTCTGGATAGGTTTCACCTTCCAAAACTAAATCAGGATCAGATAAAAAGTTTAAACAGTGCTATAACCCCTAAGAAAATAGAAACAGTCATCAAAAATCTCCCAACCAAAAAATAAGCCCAGGGCCAGGTGGTTTTAGCCTAGAATTCTGCCAGATATACAAAGAAGAACCAAAACCAATACTCCTCAAAATATTCCACAAAATAGAAACTGAAGGAACATTGCCAAATTTATTCTATAAATCAGAGTCATCTGATACCTAAACCACACAAAGACTCAACAAAGAGAATTTATACCAGTTTCATTCATGAACATCAATGCAAAAATATTCAATTAAATACTCACAAACTGAATCCAAGAACACGTCAAATACATCCACCATAATCAAGTTGTCTTCATCCCAGGGATGCAGGAATGGTTCAACATACAAAAATCTATCAACATAATCCACCATAAAAACAAACTCAAAGAAAAAAAATCACATCTCATTAGGTGCAGACAAAGACTTTGACAAAATGCAAGACCCCTTCATGATGAAAATCTTGGAGGGATTAAGAATAAAAGGCTCATATCTAAGCATAATAAAGGCTATACACAGCAAAAAGATTGCCAACATCAAATTAAGTGGAAAGAAGCTCAAAGCAATTCCATTAAAATCAAGAACAAAACAAGGTTGCTCACTCTCTCCACATCTCTTTAATATATTATTTGAAGTTCTAGCTAAAGCAATAAGACAACAAAAACAGATCAAGTACATACAAATCTGGAAGGAAGAAGTAAAAGTATCACTATTTGCCTATGATATGATAGTATATATTAGCAACCCAAAAAATTCCACCAGAGAACTCTTACAGCTGATAAACATCTTTAGCAAGTGACTGAAGACAAGATTAATTTAAAAAATCATTAGCCCTCCTGTACAGAAACTACAAAGAGGTTGAGACAGAAATAAGGGAAACTACACCCTTCACAATAACCACAAATAATATAAAGTATCTTGAGGTAACTGTAACCAAGCAAGTGAAACACCTGTATGACAAGAACTTCATGTCTCTGAAGAAAGAAATTGAAGAAGATATCAGAAGATGGAAAGATGTTCTGTATCTATGGAATGGTAGTATTAACACAGTAAAAATAGCCATCTTACCAAAAGCAGTCTACAGATTCAATGCAACCCCACCAAAATACAAAGTTCTTTAAAGACCTTGAAAAAAACAATTCTAAGCTTCATATGGAAAAAAAAAAATCAGAATAGCTAAAACAATCCTATTTGATACTTGAACTTCTGGAAGTATCTCTAGCCTTGACTTCAAGCTATACTAATGAACAATAGTTATCCAAGCTGCATAATACTGGCATAGAATTATATTGATTGATAACTGGAATCAAATTGAAAACCCAGGAAAAAAAACCCACATACTTAACGGTCACTTGATTTTTGATAAAGGATCTAAAACCATACAATGGAAAATAGACAGGATCTTCAACAAATGGTGTTGGTCTAAATAGATGTCTACATGTAGTAAAATGCAAACAGATCCATATTTATCACCCTGCAAAAACCTCAAATCCAAGTGAATCAAAGATCTCAAAATAACACCAGATATATTAGAAGAGAAAGAGGGGAACTCATTGGCTTAGGAGACAAATTCCTGAAGAGAACACCACAGGACAGTTTCTAAGATCCACAATTACTAAATTGGATGTCATTGATCTACCATTGTTGCTACGCCAGTACCATGCCATTTTTATTACTGTTGTTATATAGTACAGCCTGAGATCAGGGATGGAGATCCCTCCAGAAGATCTTTTATTGTACAGGATTGTTATAGCTGTTCTATTTGTTTGTTTGTTCATTTTTCCATATGAAATTGAGAATTGTTACTTCTAGTTCTGTAAAGGATTGTGTTGGTATTTTGATGGGAGTTGCACTGAATCTGTAGATTGTTTTTGGTAGATGGTGATTTTCACTATGTTAATTCTACTGATCCATGAACATGGGAGATCTTTTCAGCTTTTTCAATTTCTTTCTTCAGAGACATGAAGTTCTTGTCATACAGGTCTTTCACTTGCTTAGTTAGAGTCATACCAAGGTGCTTTATGTTATTTGCGGCTATTGTGAAGGGGGTTGTTTTCCTAATTTCTTTCTCAGCACTTTTGTCTTTTATATACAGAAGGGCTTCAGGTTTTTTTTAGTTAATTTTGTATCCGGCCACTTTTCTGAAGGTGTTTACCAGCTGAAGAAGTTCTCTGGTAGAATTTTTGGGATCACCCATGTATACTATCATATCATCTGCGAATAGTCATACTTTGACTTATTCCTTTCTGATTTGTATCCCCTTAGAAAACCCACAAATAAACCCACACACCTATGGAAACAATTGTTGATAAAGAAGCCAAAACCATACAATGGAAAAAATATGGCATCTTCAACAAACGGGGCTGGTCTACCTGGATGGCTACATGTTGAAAAATGCAAATAGATCCATATTTATCACCCTGCACAAAACTAAAGTCAAAGTGGATCAAAGACCTCAACATAAAACCAGACACACTAAATCTATTAGAAGAAAAAGTGGGGAAGAGCCTGGAACGTATTGACACAGGAGACAAGTTACTGAACAGACCACAAACAACACAGACTCTAAGATCAAGAATCAATAAATGGGAACTCATGAAACTAAAAAGCTTCTATAAAGCAAAGGACACTGTCACCACAACAAAACAACAGCCTACAGAATGGGAAAGGATCTTCACCAACCCTATATCTGACAGAGGGCTAATATCCAGAATATATAAAGAACTAAAAAAGCTAAAAAGCAACAAATCTACACAATGGAGTATTACTCAGCAATGAAAAATAAGGAAATCATGAAATTTGCAGATAAATGGTGGGACCTAGAAAGGATCATCCTGAGTGAGCTGTCCCAGAAGCAGAAAAACACACACGGTATATACTCACTCATATAGACATATAACATAGGATAAACTTACTAAAATCTGTACATCTAAAGAAACTAATCAAGAGAGGACCTTGACTAAAATGCTCAATCTCCATCCTGAAAGGCAAAGAGGATGGACATCAGAAGAAGAAGGAAACAGGAAACAACCTAGGAACCTGCCACAGAGGGCCTCCGAAAGCCTCTGTCCTGCAGACTGTCAAAGCAGACACTGAGACTTATGGCCAACTGCTGGGCAGAGTGAATGGAATTTTATGTAAGAAGTGGGAAATAGTAAGAGCTGGAGAGGACGGGAACCCCACAAGGAGAGCAACAGAACCAGAAAATTTGAACACAGGGAACTTTCCAGATACTCATACTCCAACCAAGAACTATTCATGGAGATATCCTAGAGCCCCTGCACAGATGTAGCACATGACAATTCAGTGTCCAAGTGGGTTACATAGTAATGGGAAGAGGACTGCCTCTGACATAATCTGATTGGCCTGCTCGTTGATCACCTCCCCCTCAGGGGGAAGCAGCCTTACCAAGCCACAGAAGATGACAATGCAGCCACTCCTGAGGTGATCTGATAGACTAAGATCAGAAGGAAGGAGAAGAGGACCTCCCCTATCAGTGGACTTGGGGAGGAGCATGCGTGAAGAAGGGGGAGAGAAGGGCTTATGGGCAGATACAAAGTGAATAAAGTGTAATTAATAAAAATAAAAAAAATTTTAAAAAGCAACAAATCAAGTAATCCAATTAAAAAATTGGGTACAGAGCTAAACAGGGAATTCTCAATAGAGGAATATCAAATGGCAGAGAAACACTTAAAGAAATGCTCAACATCTTTAGTCATCAGGGAAATGAAAATCAAAACAATCCTGAGATTTCACCTTACACCTATCAGAATGGCTAAGATCAAAAACTCAAGTGACAACACCTGCTGGAGAGGTTGTGGAGAAAGGGGAACCCTCCTCCACTGCTGGTGGGAATGTAAACTTATACAACCACTTTGGAAACCAATCTGGTACTTTCTCAGAAAATTAGGAATAGTGCTACTTTAAGATACAGCTATACCACTCCTAGGCATATATCTGAAAGAAGCTCAACTATAAAACAAGGACATTTGCTCAACCATGTTTGTAGCAGCTTTATTCATAATAAAGATCTGGAAACAACCTAGATGTCCCTTAACTGAGAATTGGATACAGAAATTGTGGTACATTTAAACAATGGAATACTACTCAGCAATTAAAAACAAAGAAATCATGACATTTTCAGGAAAATGGTGGGATCTAGAAAAGATCATCCTGAGTGAAGTATGCCAGAAGCAGAAAGACAAAAAGACAAACATGGTATATACTCACTTATAAGTGGATATTAGACATATAATATAGGATAAACATACTAAATTCTGTATTTCTAAAGAAGCTAAACAAGAAGGATTACCCTAGGGAAGATGCTCAATTCTCCTTTAGAAGGGCAAATGGGATAGACCTTTTAAAGCAGGCAAAGACATTAAACAGGACTGGAGCTTACCACAGAGGACCTTTGAAAGAAAGACTCTACCCATCAGTATTTCAAAGCAGATGCTGACACTCATAGCCAACACTGGGTAGAGTGCAGGATAACTTATGGAAGAAAGGGGATATAGAAAGACCTGGAGGGGACAGGAGCTCCACGAGGAGACCAACATATCCAAATATTCTGGGCCCAGGGTTCCCTGCAGAGGCTGATACTCCAACCAAGAACCATATGGGGGTGGGGCTTAGACCTGCTCAGATGTAGCCCATAGGCAGCTCAGTCTCCAAGTGGGTTCTCTAGTAAAGGGTCAGGGACTGTCTCTGGCATGAACTCAGTGGTAGGTTCTTTGATCTTCTACCCCTGTGGGGTGCACCTTTGCCAGGTCACATTGGAAGACAATGCAGCCAGTGGTGAAACCTAATAGACTAGGGCAGACAGAAGTGGAGGAGGCCCCCCTTTATCAGTGGACCAGAGTAGGGGCATAGGTAAAGAAAAGGGATGGAGTGTGGACTGGGAGTAGACAAAGGAGAAGCTACAGCCAGGATAAAGTGACTAAATTGTAATAAATAATAAATAAATTAAAAAATAAATGGGACCCCTTAAAACTGAAAAAAACTTCTGTATACAAAGGACACTTTCAATAGAATGAAACCACAGTCTACAGATTGGGAAAGCAGTTTCACCAATTCTACATCCTATAAAGAACTAAACTCTAAAATATATAATGGACTGAAGAAATCAAACACCAATAAGCAAATGAACAGCTGATTCTGGTACATTCTTACTTTGTGTCCTGAAGAGTAGAAACTTCCTTATTGAGGGAAGAAAGTTTGCTTCTCAAAATCCATATGATTTGACAGTAGAACACCAGGTTTATCTGTTATAATGACACAAAAAGAGAATTGGAGTTTTATTTAGGTTCCATTTTTCATATAATACAACCTGTATTTGATCTGAGAACTATTCTTCAAACAATTCAGGGTCCATTTATTTCCAGGGACCAAACTTTTGGAAGAATGCATGGAATTTTATGAAAGAAGGGGGACACAGAAAGACCTGGAGGGGACAGGAGCTCCAAAAGGAGACAAACAGCACCACAAAACATTTGGACCCTGGGGGCCCTGGAGAGACTGATACCCCAACCAAGGACCATGCTTGGAGAGGACCTAAAACTCCTGCTCAGATGTAGCCCATAAACTCAGTCTCCAAGTGGGATTCCTAGTAAGGGGATCAGGGACCGTCTCTGATTTGATTTCAGTGGCAGGCTCTCTGATCACCCGCTCTGGGGGTGTGTGTGCAGCTTTGCCAGGCCACAGAGGAAGACAATGCAGCCAGTCTTGATGAGACCTGACAGGCTACGGTTAGATAGAAGTGGAGGAGGTCCTTCCCTAAGAGTAGACTAAGAGAAGGACATAGAGGGAGAAGAGGAGGAAAGGTAGGATTGGGAGGAGAAGAGGGAGGGGGCCACAGCCAGTATATCAAGTGAATCAATAATAATAAAATAAAATAAAATAAAATAAAATAAAAATAATAATAATAATAAAAGTAAAAATTAAATAAATTAAAAATAAAATTAGGGATAAAAATATTTCCAGGGACATTCTATGAATTGTTGTAGGCAGTCCACAATATATTTTCAACTGCCCCATTTCTCCATTAGTTTCCTGCAATTTTTATCCAAAATAGGACATTTTGAAAGAAGGTCACTATTCATCTTCACCTAGGCAAGGGGTATTAAGAACTTTCTAGAAAATAAGAACACATCTTGTACAGAATGCTCACTCAATGTTTTTGAAAGTAAAAGCAATTAATTAATCTAGAACTTTTAACACAATCCATGATGAACTGCTATGTTATATTTTTGAAATTGCAGGGGAGGAACCATAAATAGGGTAAGAGCTGATGGGTGGGAAGAGGTTTTGAGTAATAGTGTCTTCTGTGTGTGTCATGTTTATCATGCTCATTAAGTCAGACCCATTGTGACTATCCACACAAGACTCACACAAAATCAAGCCAGTCAAAAATCCAGCACCGGTATGGAAGTGACTCTTTAGGTTTCTCCCCAACTTATGTCCACTAGAGGGAAAAGATTCAATATGTCTTTTTGCATGTGGCCACTGGTAGGCTGCCCTTGCTTTCATGGTTGTCCCCCTACATCCATACACATATGGGCTGTACTTGTTTGAGTCAGTTGATTATGTTCAAGACAGAAAAGAATGTAAATTTGAGAAGAGAGTTGGAGAGAATAAATAGGACCATAGTTCCTTGTATACTTAAGTAAAATTCTCAAAAATAAATAAAAAACCACCCAATAAGAGATGACCATATGAGGGTCAGTTTAATATGACATTATATTCAGGAACAAGAGCCTTTCGGACTGAGCTCTGACTCCACATCTTTATTTCAGTTCTACACGAACAGATAAAATGCACATTCTGTTCTTAGCCAACTTAGTGTATGCACACCCACAAGTAACAGTCACCTACCAAGATAATGACTGCCACTGGCCCCAAGAAGCTCCAGATGAATCCATTATGAAGGCTGAGCCAGCAGCTGTGAACAAATGATAATAATTATCTGTCTCTCTTTCTATAAGTGGAAGAAGATTGAACACAGGCACCTGGAATATGATTTACCACTGTGCAGAACAAATATTTCCAAGCTGAATTTCAGATAATTTCTTGTTGGGTGCAGTGAGGATCAGCTTTCCTAAGTCTAAAGTAGGAAGTGATCAAAGCTTGGGAAAGGTTAAATGATTGTAGAAGCAATGAGACATTTGAAACACAGTAGCTGTCATTTCTTCAAAGTTTTGAGTTAATTCTGGGTCTTCAAATAAACTATTAATAATTTCTCTAAAATCCACAGCATAACTTCCTTGGATTTTTTGAATGTTTCACATATTTAGAACAATTTTTTGGTAAAATGTTTATCTTAGAAATATTGACTCTATCTGTAAATATGGACACTTCTCCATTTGTAATAAACTTTTTGCATTGGTCATGCATGAATTTTCTCATGTACAAACTGTAAGTGATGCATTTTAAATGGTGTGATACACATGCACATTTGGGAGCCAAAGTCAAGATTCGATAGATGTAGCTGTTATAATGACACAGGTAGCTATAATGAGGCACTCAAATCAATTGTTAACAAAACCAAGCAACCAAACTTAAATATATTTCATGTACAAATACCCTATTTATTGAAGAGTGTTACATTTTTTTTTGTCACAGAAAATGTCAATAAATCCAGTAGAACTTACTTTAAACTGGGAATTGGCATATCACTATGAATCTGATAACTCTTAATGTGCCACAGCCAATGTTTAGGATACAGAAAATATCCACTTGTACATTGTCTTCTTGGATTGAAAACTACAACCATGTAGCAAATGCACCTGTCAAGTGCTTATATTCTGTCTATAAGGTTTTGCTGGGACTCAGCATCAATCATTCCTTTACATATCATCAGTGACTATTATCACCGTAGGAGTATGATATAAAGTGATTGGCACAAAGACTATGTGGCCTGCAAACTAAGCTATTTAGAATTTGTTCCTTTATTAAAACAGTTTGCATGCTCTCAATCTTGTCTATAATTCATTCTCCAACACTATTCTGGATGAGTGTAGTGTTCAAGCTGAACACTGGGCATATTTCTGAATTCAAGACTGTTAATATGCATGACATTTTATCATAGGTATGACAAAACTCAACACTACCAAAATGTTAACGTCTTCAACTAACTGTCAAAAGAAGAGATTTGGAAAAATTTCTTAATAAGATAGCGATGTTTAATTCTTCATAATATGGCCTTGGGTGTTTTGGCTTGTTCTCCTTTGAGCTCTCACCTATGGAAAATGAATGAAGTACAATCATCTCCATATGTCTGTCAATGAAATAAATAATTTCTATCCGCATGGAGTTATACTGAAAACCACTCATGCAGGAGATCAGCCTTTGGTAGTTGATATTTTTCTTCACTTTTTTATTGTTATTCAGGGAATTATTTTTAACATCTACCTTCTGTTTGAGGTTCCTAGAGAGAATAGTCTATGAGATTTTAGTGTGATACAGTGGAATAAACTTAATCATTTCTTATTTTTCTAAAGTTGTGTTCAAGGGTTTTCTTTTTAAATACCGTAGACTTATCTGTGAAAGGCGTTCTCATTTTACCAAAATTCTCAATGTAATAATAATAATAATCATCATCATCATCATCATCATCATCAAAGTTACTAAGGGTGTCTGTTAGACTGTGGTTTTAATAATTGGGTAATATGGGCCAGAAGATATGGACCAGCTATGAGGGTTCTCATCTTGCATGGAGAAAGACCTGGCTTCTACCCTCACCAGTACACAAATGATTGTGGGTCTGAAGGCCTATTATTTTCAGTACCCAGGATGGAGGTCCAGGAGGCTGGGAAACTGAGGTGTTTCCTTGAGTACAACCTGGGATGCATGAGATCTTGTCTCAAACAACAAACAAAAACACAAACAACACAAGAATCAGTAAATAAAATGGTGTCTATTTTGCCCAAAAAAATATAATTAAGGGCAGCAAATGGCATCTACGAATGGACAACTTTGCATCTTATAGCTAGAATAAATATTACCTCAGACACCAAGAATAAAACAAGACACTGAGAACCAACACTCTTGGGATTCACAAAAGGCAGAAATATGCAGACAGGCTGGTTAATTACTGACCCTGAAAATTTGGTTACTGCCCAATGGATACACCAATCCTTGTTTATGTAAACCTCCTAAGACATACCTGACTGGTTGATTAAACAGCCTATACCTGGGAAGGGCAGAGTGGGTTAGGCACAGCTAGGGTGCCTGGGCTTTGGAGGAGAATCACAGAACTTACAGATGGGAAGAAAGGAGAAAGGAGGATGTTAGGATGGGTTAGTGTGGAAAAAAAAAGTGGGCTGGGAGAAAGGGCTCCAATCAGATGAGGAATACAAGCAACTATCATGGGATTATAGATGAAAGGTAGACTAGATGAGGATGATTAAGGCATTGCATGGAGGCTAGGAGATGGAGATGGGTGGTGAGGTTATTGAGACAGTGTAAGTGAAATATTTGACCAGCTCAAGGTAAACAAGGCAGTTATAAATCTAACAAGTCTCTGTATCTTTGGAGTAGCAGGTTAAGTAATAACTGCCATGATAATCTTAAAGGCAAATAATAATTATAATATAGACAAACACCTTTAAATTATTTACTACAACAGTTGTCCAGTGAAATTTTTGATTTTAAAGTTGCATTCACACATTTTCTCCTTGCACACACATTATGCTTACTGGGTGTGTGTTCCATAATTCCTGTGCCCTGCTATTGCAGACACAGCAACAATAAAGACAGGGATCCCGTAGCCTACAGGATACATAAATCTCTTCTTGAATCTGCCTGAGCTGCTGTAGTTGGCCACTTTGAGATTGCTCACAGTGAGAAAGAGGTGTAGCCCTTCCAGAAACATCCACATGAAGGAAGCCAAGTAGAGGTAGTGCAACATTGCTGCAGTGATGGAGCACAGCACCTAGGAGGGAGAAAAGAGAGTGTGGAACAGATACAAGCTGTGCCTGATTCAAGTCTCAGGACATACTCTTCACTTAATGTTGTGGGATCACAGATTCTGTAATATTTGAGTGGAGACAAAACACTTTGAGGGAGTCCCTTCTGGTCATTGAAATTTACTTTCTGCGTGAATCTCTAGATCAAGTCAGAAAATGCTAAGAGGTAAATAATATCAGAGCATGCCTCAAATTGGTAGTGCACAAGGTTTTGTAGAGCCATACTCTATTGCCCTCGAACTTTAAACAGAACTCTAAGACACATACTCTGTGTTGCCTTCTGGAGGTCTTCAGTGGAATCTACCTGCAATTGTTTATGCTAGACACTTAAAAACAGCCATTCATTGATTCCTTTTATCTTGGCCTTATTTTCTCTCTCAGATAAATGTGTCTTAGATATAAAGCAAAAACTATGTTCAGAAAATCTTTGTTGCTGGATATGTGTGTGGATAAAATGATAATGAGCTCTTAGAAAACAATATTAGGGGACTTCCAAGATGGCGGCAGCTAGTGTGCAGCTTAGCTGAAGGGCAGAGGACCTGCAACGTGGAAATTGGTGAGTGAAGGGGCTGATCAACCCAGAACAGAGGTATCTAGACTTCCAAGAAGAAAGAGACTAACCATGATCTGAGTCCATCTAGAATCAGGTCACTGCAGACTCCTCCGGGAGGAGACACCACAAGAGGTGATCCCCAGGCACTTCCCGGCACCCAAAACCCTACTCCCTCTTCGGAGGAGGCAGGAGGCATCCAGCAGAATCTGCCACAGACCACAATGTCTGTACCCCAGCCCCAGCTAGAGCTACAGCTTCCACCAAACAAACAAACAAACAAACAAACAAACCCGAGATCGGGGCTGAGAAAACGCAATCCTTTCGGGCACTCCCCCAAAAGCTGCCATAACCCTGCCGCGGTGGAGTGGAGGGATAGAGAGGCGCACAGCAGCCTCACAGTTCCGGGACTCCAGTGCTGTCGGCTGCTCCTAGCAAACAACCTTCAGCTTGGGATCTGGGACTGTGGTCATTCAGCACGTCCTGAGACTCTCCCGGGTCCAGTGCAATAAAGTCTAGCACCAAGTCCTAACACTGGCGGCCCCCCCGACCCCTGGCAGAGAAACCCTGGCTCAGGATCGGACTGAGAAGGCCCAACCCCTTCTGGCACTCCCATGAGAGAGCACCGCCATAAGTTGCCCTAGCAGAGGAGAAGGTCAGAGGGGAAGGACAGAGAGGCAGCCTGCCACAGGACACAGCACCCCCTCTCCAGCTCACCCAGCGGCCCCTGGCAGAAAAACCCAAGCTCTGGATCTGAGGACACTCAACCCTACCTGGTACTCTCTCGGAATCAGCAAACATAGGTTCTACCAGCAGGCTGCTTCTGGCAGAGAGATCTGGGCCCGAGATCTGGGATTGAGAACACTCAACCTAAATCTTTCCTGTGCTACCCCGGGACCAGTCAACATAACCCCTCTTGGCAGAGGAAAAGAACAGAGAGGCAGCACACAGGAAAGGTGGACACCAAGTCCTGCGGCCACAGTGCCACAGAGCTGACTGTTAGCCTACCCGTGCATTTTCCGCAGCAGGAACAAATCAAGAGAGTAGAGAGCAAGGGGAACCCCTGTGCATTCCAACTGGTCCTGCAAGAGAGTGAGTGAGCCTTCTAGGGAGAGTTTGCCCCAGACTCAGGGCCTCTCCACAGAAGCAACCAGATGAGATCCCTGCCACCCACACCCCTAATGTGGGCATCATAGTGATTCTTGGAATAGTGACTCCAACGTTGAAGCCTCTGCCTAGTGGGTCCACCAGGGTAATCCAGGCAAACAATCCCTGGATCTCAGACAGAACTGCATAATAGTGGCCTGCAGGCCATTGCAATAATCAGAGAATCCCTGCATGCACACTGTGCCCGCTAAAAGCGCATGCAAATAATACCAGCGTCACATTCCTTACTTAGGCAAAACTGAAACCACAACGCACACTCCCAAAGCAGTGAACCTCTCTCATCTTCCTGAAAAAACAGTCCAGAAAACAGAAAGAGATGACCATAGCCTGAACTAGAAACTCGAGAGACAAACAATGAGGGTTATAAAAAACCAGATGGCTAGAGGCAGACATAAGAATACACCCAACAAAAATCAGGACATAATGACCTCACCAGCAACCCCACAAAACAATGGACACTTCAATTCATTAGATATACAAGAAAGCGACCTCAAAACTATGTTTCTCCAGCTATTAGAGGCCCATAAAGATGAAAAGCACAAAGCCCTCATAGAAATAGCCAAAGAAATCGAGACGAACAAAGAGGAAACAAATAGAGCTCTCAGAGAAATGACCACGAAAATTGAGGCAAACAAAGAAGAAATGAACAAAGCTCTCAAAGAAATGTCCACACAAATGAAGGCAAATAAAGAAGAAATAAACAAAGCTCTCATAGAAATACAGGCAATTATAGCCAAAGAGGTAGAGACACAATTAGAGATACATAGAGAGGAAATGGACAAAAAAATAGAAGCTGTCATTGAAAAGCAAGAGTCCACATTCAAACAGATGAAGGAAATGGTGCAAGACATGAAAACAGAATTAGAATCAATAAAGAAACACAAATAGAGAAAAACCAGGAGCTGGAGAACATAGAGAAAAGATCGAGAACTACAAAGGTAAGCATCACCAACAGAATACAAGAGATGGAAGAAAGAATCTCAGGAGCCGAAGATACACTTGCGGAAATTGACACGTCTCTCAAAGAAAAAATAAAATCAGAAAAGTTCCAAACACAAAACATCCAAGAAATCAAGGACACCATGAAAAGACAAAATCTAAGAATAATAGGAGTAGCAGAAAAAGAAGACATCAGGCTCAAAGGTCTGGAAAATATTTTCAAGAAAATTATAGAAGAAAATTTTCCCAACTTAAAGAAGGAAATGTCCATAAACATACAAGAGGCCTACAGAACACCAAGTAGACTAGACCAGAAAAAAAATTCTTCACGTCACATCATAGTCAAAACACTGAACCTACAGAACAAAGAAAAAAATTCTAAAAGCAGCAAGGGAAAAAGACCAAGTAACATATGAAGGTAGACCTATCAGAATCACACCAGATTTATGAAAGCCAGAAGGACCTGGACAGAAATCATACAGTCCTTAAGGGACCACAGATTCCAACCCAGACTACTATACCCAGCAAAAGTTTCAATCAGCATAGACGGAGAATTCAAAATATTCCATGACAAAACCAAACTTAAACAATATCTACATAGTAACCCTGCTCTACAGAAGTTACTAGAAGGGAAACTCCAAACCAAAGAAAACAACTACATCTAAGGAAACAGAGGAAATAGATAACTACACAACAAAAAACCCAAAAGAATACAAGCAATGATACTCAGTGACATGACCAACTCCATATCAAAAGTAAGTAACAATTGTTGGTCACTAGTATCTATCAACATCAACCGACTCAACTCCCCAATAAAAAGACACAGACTAACAGAATGGTTGTGGAAACAGGATCCAACATTCTGTTGCATCCAAGAAACACACCTATGCAACAAAGATAAACACTACCTCAGAGTAAAGGGCTGGAAAAATGTTTTTCAAGCAAATGGTTCCAGAAAACAAGCGGGAGTAGCCATCCTAATATCTAATAAAATAGATTTTCAACCCAAGTTAATTATAAAAGATAAGGAGGGTCACTATATTCTCATCAAAGGAAAAATCCACCAAGAGGACATCACAATTTTGAATATCTATGCCCCAAATACAAGAACACCTACATTCATAAATGAAATGATATTAAAACTTAAATCACACATTGATCCTAATACCTTAATAATGGGAGACTTCAACACTCCACTCTCACCAAGGTACAGATCAACTAGACAGAAAACAAATAGGGAAATAAAAACACTTACAGAGTCCCTAAATCAAATGGACCTAATAGACGTCTACAGATCTTTTCATCCAAACTCAAAAGAATATACCTTCTTTTCAGCACCGCATGGAACCTTCTCCAAAATAGAACATATAGTTGGTCATAAAGCAAGCCTCAACAGATACAAAAAGATTGAAATAATCCCTTGTATTCTATCAGACCACCATGGACTTAAGCTGGACCTCAACAACAACAGAAATAACAAAAAGCCAACAAACACATGGAAACTGAACAACTTGTTACTCAACGACAGCTGTGTTAAGGAAGAAATAAAGAAAGAAATTAAAGACTTCATAGAATTCAATGAAAATGAAGACACAACATACCCAAATTTATGGGACACATTGAAAGCAGTGCTCAGGGGAAAATTTATAGCACTAAGTGCCTGCAAGAAGAAATTCGTAACATCACATACAAACAACTTAATGGCCCAACTGAAAACCCTAGAAAAAAAAGAAGCAGATACAACCAAGAGGAGCAGAAGGCTGGAAATAATCAAACTCGGGGCTGAAATCAATCAATTAGAAACAAATAAAACTATTCAAAGAATCAATGAAACAAAAAGCTGGTTCTTTGAGAAAATCAACAAGATAGACAAACCCTTAGCCAAACTAACTAAAAAGCAGAGAGAATCTATTCAAATCAACAAAATCAGAGATGAAAAGGGTGACATAACTACAGACACTGAGGAAATTCAAACAATCATTAGGTCATACTACAAAAGCCTATATGCCACAAAATTTGAAAATCTAAATGAAATGGACAATTTTCTTGATAGATTCCATCTTCCAACATTAAGTCAAGATCAGGTAGAAAGACTGAACAGCCCTATATCCCCCAAGGAAATTGAAGCAGTCATTCACAGTCTCCCCTCCAAAAAAAGCCCTGGGCCAAATGGTTTCAGCGCGGAATTCTACCAGACCTTCAAAGAAGTGCTCACACCAATTCTCCTCAAACTATTCCACAAAATAGAAACAGAAGGTACATTACCAAACTCATTCTATGAAGCAACAGTCACCCTGATACCTAAACCAC